GTGTCTAAACTATCTATGTTCATCATGGCTCTTAGCTTTCTGAATACTTCGACTTGCACTCCCTTCGTCATGATGTCTGCAATCTGATTCTCAATTCTGCAGTGTTCCAAATTCATCTTCCCATCTGCTACCTGCTCTCGAAGATAATGGAACCTCATTTCGATGTGATTACTTCGACCATGTGCTATTGGGTTCTTCGCTAGATTAATAGCTGACATGCTGTCTATCTTCATGGTAATTGCTCCATGATTTTTCCCTATTATCTCTTCGACCAAGTTCACCATCCAAGTTGCTTGACATGCACAAAGAGAAGCAGCTATGTATTCTGCTTCGCATGATGATAATGCCACTACTGGTTCCTTTCTTGAATTCCAAGCAATTGGTACACCACCTAGCATAAACACATATCCTGCTGTTGACTTTCGATCTTCAGCATCACTACACCAACTCGAATCAGTGTATCCCACTAACTTGCATTCTTTTCCTTTAACAACTGCAGGAAATAAAATGCCATAATCGAAAGTTCCTTTGAGATACCTTAGTATCCTCTTCACTACTGCTAGATGTGATACCTTTGGCTTCTGCATAATCTACTTACCATACCTACACTATATGCTAAGTCAGGCCTTGTATGACAAAGGTATCTCAATGATCCAATAAGTCTTATGTATTGGGTTGGATCAACATCATCTTCATCTACATCTTTCGACAGTTACAGTCTTGGTTCTGCAGGTGTCGAAGTTGAGTTACATTCTTCCATCTCAAACCTCTTGAGAATTTCTCCTGCATATCTTCTTTGATGCATCATCAAACCTCTACTGCTCTTGTAGAATTCGATACCAAGGAAATATGAAATCTCACCCAAATCAGACATTTCGAATTCCTTACTGAGATCACCTTTGAAGTCTTCGATCTCACTTTTACAGCTACCTGTTATCAACAAATCATCTACATAGAGACATAGTATAAGCAATTCACTATTGCTTCTTCTTACATATACTCCATGTCCAGTTGTGCACTTTACAAATTCCTTCTCCCTTAGAAAACTATCAATTTTCTTATTCCAAGCCCTTAGTGCTTGTTTCAATTCATACATGGCTTTATGTAGCTTGTACACCTTTCTTTCTTTGTCATGTTTCACAAACCCAACTGGTTGTTTAACATAGACTTCTTCATCTAAGGGTCCATTTAGGAATGCATACTTCACGTCCATCTGACATATGTGCCAACTGTTTATTTCTGCTAGACCAACAACCAACCTGATTGTTTCGATCCTAGCAACAAGTGCAAAAACTTCATCGAAGTCTATTCCTTCTTTCTGTAGAAATCCTTTCGCCACAAGTCTTGCTTTGTGTCGAGTTACTTCACCTTTCGAATTCCTTTTAACTTTGTATACCCACTTGACATCAATTGCCTTCTTTCCTTGAGGCAATTCGATAAGTGACCAAGTGTTGTTGTCTTCGATAGACTTTACTTCTCTGTTCATTGCTTTCACCCACTTTGAATCCTTTAATGCTTCAGCTGCATTAACGGGTTCGACATCTGCACAGAAAACATAATGTACCATCTCACCTTCATTATCTATTACATCATCTGATGTAATCATACAATCTTGCAATCTTGCAGGCATGCGTCTTGTTCTTTGAGACCTGCTTGTACTTGGTATATCTGCTGGTTCCTCTTGTCGAACTTCTCTTTTGACTTGAGTTTCTGGATCTTCAAGAAGGATTCCCACTGAATCTTTCTTGATATTTTCAGTCCAATCCCATTCTTTAAACTCATCTATGATCACGTCCCTGCTGATCACAATCTGCTTTTTCACTGGATCGAACAACTTGTAGCCTCCTGTCGAATGATATCCAACTAGAATCATTTGACTTGACTTATCATCAAGTTTTCTTCTCAACTGATCTGGCACATGTCTATGTGCAATAGTTCCAAATACCTCCAGATGACTCAAGCTAGGCTTCACACCAGACAAACATTCTTCTGGAGTAATTCCTTCTAGCTTCTTTGTAGGACATCTGTTCAAAATGTATGTTGCAGTCGAAACAGCTTCACCCCAAAACTCTTTAGGTAAATTTTTGCCTTTCATCATACTTCTCACCATATTTATGATGGTTCGATTTTTCCTTTCTGCAATTCCATTTTGTTGTGGAGTATAGGGTGGCACCACCTCATGCACAATCCCTTCCTTTTCACATAATATGTCGAAGTCTTTCGACACATATTCTCCACCACCATCAGTTCTCAAAACTTTGAGCTTTCGACCACTTTGTCTTTCGACCATAGACTTAAACTTGGTAAATACTTCGATCACTTCACTTTTCTTCTTGATCAGGTAAGTCCATAGCTTTCGACTGAAGTCATCTATGAATGTAACAAAGTATTTGTTACCTCCCATCGAATCCACCTGGATTGGTCCATATACATCAGAGTATATGACTTCAAGACTAGCCTTCAATCTGCTTCCTGCATCCTTGCTGAAGCTATTCTTGTGTTGTTTCGCCTGCACGCATTCCTCACATACCTCGTTTGGAATGTCAATTTCTGGAAATCCTGAAACCATATTTCTTCTCTTCAAATCTCTGATGTCTCTGAAGTTGAGATGGCCTAGTCTATAATGCCATATCCATTCATCTCTGCTAGCTGCAGTCGAAAGGAACTTGTACTCCATCACATTTAGTTCAATCTTGAAGGTTCGATTCTGAGACATAGGAGCCTTCAAGATCAATCTCCCATTTGCATCAACGACTCTTATCATCTTATCTTTGATTGACACTTTATAATTCTTTTTGACCAACTGCCTTATACTGAGCAAATTGCTCTTCATGCCTGGTATGTACAACACATTGGAGATTACTGACCTTTTGCCATCTTTCCTCATGATCATAACATCACCAATACCTTCAGCTGCTAGGGTATTGTCATTTGCAAATTTTACCATATTTTTGATTGAGGGCTTTATATTGACGAACCAGTCTTTCCTTCCAGACATATGTGATGAATATCCTGAATCCAAGTACCATTGGTCCTTGAATCTATCTTCATCTCTTGTTGTGACCAGCAACATCATCTCTTCTTCTTCTTCTTCATGTTTTGCAAGCTTTGCATCACTTTCTTGATTCTTTCGTTTTTCTGGACAATCACTCGAATAGTGACCATACTTCTGACAATTGTAACATTGAATGTGACTCTTATCAGGTTTTCGACCACCACCTCTTCCTCTATTTGCAACACCACCTCTTTGGTTGTCTTGGTATGGTCTTCTTTGATTCGACACGTTTCCTTCAATCTGGTTTCCTCTACCATTCGATTTGTTGTAGCCACCTCTACCTCTGTCGAAACACTTTCCTTTGCCTTTGGTCTCTTTTGTTGAATGTGCCTGCAAGGCCACATCACTCTTCGATTTTCCTGCAGCTCTTTCGTTCATTCTTTGTTCATGATATTCAAGCGTCCCTTGAAGCTCTTCCTTTGTCAATTTCGACAAGTCTTTCCCCTCTTCTATCGCCACCACTATGTGGTCGAACTTAGGAGCTAAAAATCTCAAGATCTTCGACACAACAACTCTTGTTGTTAACGCTTCTCCACATATCTTGATTTGATTTACTAGTTTTGTAACTCTAGTGAAGAAATCAGATATGCTTTCACTGTCTTCCATCTGAAGCAGTTCATAGGTCCTTTTGTGAGTTTGTAACCTCACTTCTTTCACTTTCTCAGCGCCTCCAAAAGACTTCTCAAGGATCTCCCAAGCTTCTTTTGCAGATTCTGAATTACTAACTTTTTCGAAGTTGTCTGGGCTGACACATTGATGAATTATAAATAATGCTTTATAACTCAGCTTCTCAGATTTTGTGTATTTCTTCTTTTCTTCTTCTGAAGCGTTTTCTCCAAGTGCTTCGACTCCATCTTTTACAAGGTCCCAAAGACCTTGACACCTGAATAAGACTTTCATCTGTTTGCACCAATTCTCATAGTTGTCAACTTTCAGAATTGGTAGGGTTGCTGGATAATTTGCATTCCCATAACTTGTCATCGTGAATTCTTCAATCGTTCTTGATTGACACTTCCCTTGAATCGAAACAAAGCTCTTGATACCAGATGTTGGAAATCCACCAAAAGACTATGATGAATTTCTACCACAATGACGATTAGTTATGAGAAAAATAAAGAAAAGAAGACAAGACAAATAATTTCTGCAGAGTTTCTCTCTGCTCACAAACTGTAAAAACTTTATTATTCACTTTGCAACTGTAAAATACTGTGAATGACTTGTTTGACTTGCTTACAAAAATAGGGGTTACTCCCTCTATTTATAACTGAGCTTACACCCTAAGCTCAAAGTCCAAAATATCTTTTTGTTACTAAATCAAATCAAATTTATTCTAGACTTAAATCAAATCTATTTAAATCTAAAACAAATCAAATCTTTTCGACACATAGTTTCGACACATTGGATTATAATTTAAAAGTTTTAGGTTCTTTCTTGTTGTTATTTAATCTATTGATGGTGGTTCTGACCCTCTAATATATATATCTTGAATTCTAGGATGATGGTGGTTCTAACAGCCTAGGATGATGGTGGTTCTAACAGCCTAAGATGTATCTTGAATTGTAGGATGAGGTTTTTTACCTGCCGGAGGGTTTTTGTTTTGTAAAACCCATCTGAGTTTTTAATTGTTCATGTGTTTTTCTATTCTTTTAATTATTCTTATTGTATCTTTTGTTTTTTCTTGGGGTGAATTGTTTTGCACTGCTTGTACAAACTACTATCCTTCTTTTCCTATTTATAGTTTTCGTATCTTTAGAAAAATTTAACTTTTATAAATAATATTTTTCAGAAAGAATAAATATTTATTAATTGTATAAAGATGAACTGAAAAATGACAATACACAAGAAGTCATCCTCTACTATTCTTTAGAAAACATAAAAACAAAATGGAAAAAACTAGAAGATGGCGCTATCATTTTTATTTGTTTGTTTTTATTCTATAAAAAAATTACGGAGTCAATGATAGCATGTGACGTACCAGACAAGTAGCTTTGATTGTAGTATCGGAATCACGACCGTCCAAATCTTGATCATCAACGGTGGAAAGAAGAACATCCATGAAGTCATGTTCGCCGCCGGCAGGTTTCCGATCGCGTTTGTGTTGGTCGAGACAAACACGAACAAACTCATCCAATTCTTTCGCAGTTTTCTTCATTTCCTTCTCTTTTCCATCCAAATCCAACCATCTCAAATACGGCATCGCATCAGACACAACAAACGAACCGCTCAGATCGAAGAAATCCCTCAGAGTTTTTCTTATCCGTCGATTCTCTTCCTCGTCAACATCAAAACGTTTTCCCACTACCATTCTAAACAGAACATTTATCGCTATGTCCCCAAACCATTTCTTCATTTCCGTAATTACCCTTACAGAACTATCCTTCTTCTTCATCTTTATCCAATACGAGTAACTCTCTTTCATTGCTATCTTCACCTCTGATTCCATTACATGTTTCAGCATATCTATTCGTTGCGCGGAGAGGACATGGACGGTTGCGATTTTACGCATTGTACGCCAGTAAGAACCATAGGGACTGAAACCTATCATCGAGAAGTTATACCCCATGACTTCAAAGGCTAGAGATTTGGGACGTGAAGCAAAAGCTTTGTCGTTTACTGTGAAACACTGTTTTGCCATTTCATAACTGCTTACTACTAGAGTTCGATGAACACCTAAACGTAAGGTGAAGATGGGTCCGTATTTGTCGGCTAATTTTCCTAAACTAACGTGTGGTGGCTGAGAGCCGCCTAAAAGGTGGAGGTGTCCGATTAAAGGCCAAGCTCCGCCGGCTTCTGGTGGTGGTGGTGTCTTGGAAGCTACAGCAGTATTAACATGGCTTCTACGTAGCCAAAAGAGAAGGAAGAGAAACAGCAGCGTGGGGCATGTTGTAACTGCCAAGGTTTGTAGTGAAAGTATATTATTCATCTCCATGGTGTTATGTCATATGAACTTGTCTGTATTGATTTTATAGACAGAAGATAGAAGGGGTTACATAAAAAGGGCTCAAATATTAATATTCTTGAAATGGGCGTTAGCCAGATTAATTTTTTTGGGTAGCATATGACCCAGACTTGTCAAAGGAGACCACGTTCACTAGAACCACATGTTTGTTAACAAAATGGATATGTTTATCTAAAGTAATTTAGGTTAGTTCACACATTTGTTGAAGCAATGATAATTATTTTTTTTTTAAATGATTGAAATATTAGACAATTTTTTTGAAATGATCAAGTGTTTCAATATTTAGAACTTTCAATCAGGCAAATCATAAATAGTTTTATTTCAGTGTAACTACAAATGAGACATAATATATTTATTTATAAGATAAAAAAGTTGAGTCTTTAAATAATATGTTAGAGAGAGAAAGTCAACCCTCTCTCTAATTTTTTAGGTTGCAGTAGTTATCGGATCATACTCTAAGGAAGACAGAAATGGCGGTTGGAAGAGGGTTGTGAACAAGAATGCTAGGAGGATGTTGGGTGCAAGGTGGGATGCAACTGGGTGTGGAGAAAGGAAGAAAGTAGGGGGAAGCTCCACTTTCTTCTTTATGGAGTTTGACGATAGATGGAAGACGAAAGACTTGTATTTTGAATTCAAAGAGTTGGGAGAAATAGATGAGGTTATCATCTCTCCAAAGAGGAATAGGAAAGGGAGAAGATATGGATTCGTTCGTTACTTCAACGTAGAAGACGAGAGGATATTGGCTACGAAGCTGGACAACACTTTCCTTGAAGGTAGGGAGTTATTCGCTAACATACCTAGGTTCCAAACGATTACCAGACCCGTAGTGGAGACATGTGAACAAGGTAAAAGGAATGGTTCGAAGGGATTAGAAAGGAGTTCGAGACACACGATTTATGATCAGGGAAGCAGATAATGGGAGACAAGAGACAAGAGACAGACGCTCGTTTGCTGATGTTACCAAGAATCTCAGTCTGTGTCATAACGTGGCGAAGGAGGTTGAAAAGGTACTGCTTTCTTTTATCTTTTCAGCAGAAGAGGAAAACTCGAGCTGTTATGAGAAAGCCTTTGTTGGGATAGTAAAAGTACCAAGATTGACCTATAAGATGAAAGAGTTATTCCATGGGGAGGGAGTGTTCACTATCAGAGTGACTCCCCTGGGAGCTAACTTTTGTCTGTTGGAAGACTTGGAGGAGGGTGAGACATCGATCTTTATCAACGAGCGAAAGGAATGGCGGGGGAAGTGGTTTAAAGAGGTTAGACCGTGGAAACCCGAAGACGTAGATACAGAAAGAATAGTTTGGTTAAGGGTATCTGTAATCCATTTCCACATTTGGGGTTCAATATTTTTTGAGCACATCACATCTCCCTTGGGACATTACATTCAATGTGATGTTCTTACTTCGACGAAGTTGTGTTTGGATGTGCCAAGAGTAAGGATTCGAACAAGGAGAGTGGCTTTTATCAATGAAGTTTTAACTGTCAGCATCAATGCTTACCTGTGATACGGTGGCAGAACCGACTATTTTTGAAATGCTGGTTTGCGTTTTGCGTTTTTTATTCGCAAAATGTCGCGGTAAGCAAGAGTCGCCACCGACTTTTATTTTATCCAACCGGAAAGGAAAAAAGCACAGAAAAAATCTTTTTTTGAGATATTCTGAGTACGAGGGGTAGATTATAGAAAGGGAAGAAGTTAGCACCCTTTCTATCCATGGTTTTCCATGGACTCTTAGGTACTTGCTCATTTTGAAATTGCTTGTGTGTGTGTGTGCTTGTTTTGAAAAGTTTTGTTTTACTTCGTTTTAACCCTTGTTTATGTCCTCAAGAGTGTTACGAAGTTGTTTTGAAAACTTTGTTTGGGAAAAGTGTTTGGTGTGAAAAAAAAGTTTGATTTGAGCAAGTACTTATTAGCATCTACCTACTCGAAAAAGGACCGTTTCTATTCTCGTTTCCTTTAGACAATGTTATCCTACTATTTAGAAATAGGTAGCACCGTTGTTGGATTTGTAAGGATCAATTTGTAAGGGACGTACGATCACTAAAGCAATGTTAGAACGTCTTAGTAATAACCCTAAAGTCTTAAGATCATATTCGAGGCAACATTTCCGAGGCGACGTTTCCGAGGCAACATTTTCGAACGGGACTTTTGATCTCTGTTAGACAGGAGGGCAACCACTAAGACACCCTATACTTAATGATCGTTTACCGAAGGCAACCGAAGTGAAAGTATACCCTAAGAGTGCGCATGTGCGAGTGATTTGATTTCAGTTATTATCTTTGCACATTAGGGTTTTCTAGCCGTTTTAAATCATCATGCAATCTTGTCATACAATCCTATTAACATACATCTAACAGTTAATATTTGCGAGAATTAAAATGCGAGAAATAAAATCTACGCTATTACAAGGCTTCGGGGTAGGGATTAATTACATAGCAAAAAAAAACCGTAAAAGACGATAAATAAAAGAGAATCCTAGATTAAACTATTACATACCGTGGACAGTTACATTAATGTTGCAAAAGATGATAAACGCGCGTGATGAATCGAATGCAAAATAATTAGGGTTTTGACCCCAACTAAGCCTAATTGTAATTTACAAGAAAAATCATTTTTTTGTCGTTTTTGTGTTATTTGAGAAAATAAAGTTCAATTGAATAAACAAAAACCTAATTACTAATTTAATTTTAATTAAGAAAAAATAATTAAATTAACCTATTTTTGTATTTTTTATTTTTGAGAAAAGAAATAAAAATTAAATTAAAAGTCTAACCCTAATTTTTCTAATTGATTTTAATTATATAAAAAGTTAGAATTGCCCTAAATTAAATTAAATTAATATTAAATTAAATTTGATAAAATAAAACTAATTCTATTTTTTGTGAAAAAAATTGATTTTATGATTTTATGAAAAAAAACAAATTAATTTGGTTAAAAAATATTTAAGCAAATTAAATTAAATAAAAGAAAAAAATAGAAAAGAGAAAGAATGGGCTTGGTTGCTGTTAGCAAAAAAAAAGGGTGCTGCTTACAATTCTTGGCCCAACAATTCCTGGCCCTTTTTGACTTTGCCAGATTCTGTGTGTATGCTTGACTGGGCGCATGGTGGACCCTCATGGGAAGGCCTTAGATCTGAAGCCTTGGTGGTTTGGATGATCAGATCTGGAGAGTGCATGATGGATCCTGGAGTGTGAGATGCACTGGATTGCCTGTCCAAGAAAAACATGAAATAAAGTTGGGACCTGGGGATAGAACCCAGGCCCTTAGGCATTATCCCCTTGCCATGCTGCCAGCTGAGCCAGAATGTTTAGTTGTCATTACAATAGCACACAATTATTATATAACATAAACAAAAAGCTAATCGTTGAAACGCGCGAAATTCAAACTGGCAAACCATGAAGCGCCACGTATCCTTCTTCTTCCTCCCACCGTCGCTGTAAGTTTCATGGCTTTTACCTACGGACATTAAGTGTAGGTATAGCCCATGTGTATTTCCAAAACCTTGTACATGCATGATAAATGACAACCAATGGTACCAATCAACTCGTTGCAACCTCACGAGCATCATGGGAAGGCATTAGATCTGAAGCCTTGGTGGTTTGGATGATCAGATCTGGAGAGTGCATGATGGATCCTGGAGTGTGAGATGCACTGGATTGCCTGTCCAAGAAAAACATGAAATAAAGTTGGGACCTGGGGATAGAACCCAGGCCCTTAGGCATTATCCCCTTGCCACGCTGCCAGCTGAGCCAGAATGTTTAGTTGTCATTACAATAACACACAATTATTATATAACATAAACAAAAAGCTAATCATTGAAACGCGCGAAATTCAAACTGGCAAACCATGAAGCGCCATGTATCCTTCTTCTTCTTCCCACCGTCGCTGTAAGTTTCATGGCTTTTACCTACGAACATTAAGTGTAGGTATAGCCCCTGTGTATTTCCAAAACCTTGTACATGCATGATAAATGACAACCAATGGTACCAATCAACTCGTTGCAACCTCACGAGCATCACGGTACCATTATCACTAGCCAATTTTCCCTGTATGAAAAATCCCTAAAAACGAAGCACGAACCCTAGCCATGGAAACTTGATATACAGTCAACAAAAATGCAATTAAATATAACCATTAGCTTGCAAACATCTCAAGGATTAAAAATATGTCAATTAATCATGCTAAATATGCCATAATCAATGCATTCGATTTCAAGAAAAGAGACAAACTGTGTGACTCTTACAGGGAGTTTCAGGGCGTGGGGAAGCTTGCTAGCGATTGAAGCACGATCCTAGGATGTCCAACAAACGATTGGTATGATCAGAATGGCTTGAGATGGCCTGAAACTTGGAAATCAGTTTGCAACTTTTCCTTGAATTTTTGAAATTCGTTCTCTCCTGTGCACGCCTCTAGCCTCTCCTTTTTTTATCTGCCTTTGTTCCTTATGTATCCTAGAATGTATTAGGGTTACAATTTGTTTCAAATCTTCTCCAATTATGAATATTGATTCATGATTCAATCCTTGCACCAAATCTTTCTAAATCAAGCAAATTCAATCTTTTTGTGTCCAAATGGAGCCTTGCACGATTTGATCTTGTCTCCAGATGTGTAATGGGCCTAATCATGCACAAAATCTCAAGACTTAATTAGTTTTTGATATTTTCATTATTTTATATTGATTTTATTTGATTTAAATGAAATAAAATCAAAATAAATAACAAAAATAAAAGAATGACAAGTGTAAGGGCTCATGGGTCGTGGGTCACATTAAAAACTCAGTGCAAGCATAAAAAGTTGGGCCCATTTAGCAAAAAATGCAATTTTGGACACATTTGACTTTTGGCAATTTTGCAAAAAGGGTCAACTTGGCCAATGCACAACTCTTTCAATTTTGACCCTAGAGAGGTGTTCTTGGACTTTTTAGAAAGATTAAGATGTCCTATAAGCAACATTTTTTGTCTCATATCAATTG